TTTGAAAGCAGCAACACTGGTAGAGTGTTGATCAATTTGAGGGTCAAGATAAGGATGTGGGCCTAGATTAGGATAAAGGGACAAAGGATTTTAGTCTTATCAAACCTTAGGCCAGAGGTTCAAAAGGGTACTAATGACCACATGCTAAATCATCAGAGTAAAAGGCTAATTGAGGATTTAGAGGTTGAGAATTTTAGCTACATTTATAACTAATAAAATGCCTAGTGGATAAATACAAAGTTTTTATCTGAGCAACTGTAAGTTTGGAATTGGCATTTAAAAAGATAAGAAATGCTGCAAAAGTCAGGTTTGAGGAGAGAAAGATTAAGAGCTTCATTTGAACATGTTATGTTCGAAATTCCTACCAGATATCAGAGTAGAGATGTGAAATAGGCAGTTGGATATGAGTGGGGAGTTCAAGAAAGTAGTCCAGGCTGGAGATAGAATTTTGAAAGTCATCATGTAAATGGTACCCAAAGAGTATATTTCAAAGACCAATCGCTGGGTTACTTGAATATGAAGAAGTGAAGAAAGTGAGGGAGTCCAGCAGAGAATACAGAGGAGGAGCAGAGAGTGAAGTAGGAGGAAAACCAGAAGAATGTCGTATCCTGGAAGCCAGGTGATAAAATGAGCAACTCTGTCAAATGGTGCTAGTAACTCAGGTAAAGTAGAGTTTTGCTGTATTGTTTGTAGAGATAGCATGATTCCATTATGTACCTGGAATACTTCTTCAGAATTTTCCTATGCTTATCCTTTCTTACATGAAAAAAAGCAAAAATTAAATCAGTGGAATGCATTCAATGCTTTTATGACATTGTCCATAGATATGAAACCATACCAATGGGATGTTTTTATTAACTAGATGCTTTGACTTCATGTAAGAATGGTCTATAGGGCACAGGGAACTATTGTTTATAAGAATAAATGATAGTGTAGCACTTAAACTGTGTCTATGTGATATCATCATAATTAGTGGCTGAAATTATACTGAACAATGGTCATCAGTGGATTGCTTACATTTGAATCAGAAGAATGCACTCAGTATAATCAATGAATTTAAATGTTAACAGTTCCAACTAATCTCAAATTCTAAAAATAGTTTTAGTTCTACTTTCTGCAGAAATAAATCAAATAGTTTTCCTGGCCCTATAAAGAAAATGTCACACTCTTAAAAACTCTTACCTTCTCCTGCACGAGTGAAAATATTTCTCTAGTAGCTCGGCACTGTAAACTGTCTGAGAAGTGGCAACTGGCTGCAAACATGTTTTCAAAGGAAGTAGTGGAGAAGTTTCTAATGCCGCCATCTTGGGAGACAAGACAGCTAATATACGATATCTGTTAACTATTGCTTCACTGCTAACATAGGAGCCCATTTGTCTCAACTCTTAGGCTGCAGAGGAACTGGTGTTGGGTAAAGGACTATTCACTGTTTGAGGCTTGTTTTATACCAGAAGGGTATACATTATGTTCCAGACTTCTATAGCTAACTTTGGAGCCTGGACTTTGGATTCAGACAGTCTAGGTTCAAATATTAGCTCCTTCACTGACAAGCTTTGTTACTGTTGGCAAGTCAATTAACTTCCCTGTGCTTCAGTTTTCTCATATGTAACATGGCAGTTGTAATTATACCTACATCTTAAAGTTAGTGTGAGAATGAAATGAACTCATATAGGCAATGCGTTTATAATAATGCTTAGCACATAGTAAGCACTATAGAAATGTTCACTATATTTATTATACCCATTGTGATGAGGGAAGATGGGCTGGAATCAAAGGAAAACTCTTGACTAAGCCCTGTGAAATAAATATATCAAGGAACAAATATGTGGAAAGTAGTAGAATTAGGGGGTAACAGATGACTTAACTGCAAAAAAATGCTAAGCAGGAAACATCCTCTAAATATTCCTGCTTATATAGTACATGACACAAGGTAAAAAAATAATGAAAACAGACACTTTCTTCAGGATTTAGACTTCTTTTATATATATTTTAAATATACATGTGCAATACATTAAAATATATAGAGATGTGTGAATATATATATTTACACACACACACACACACACACACATATATATATATATACACACATACATATATGTGTATACATATATATATATAAAATTTCACAGAAGGGTACATATGCACACTCACACGTCTGTACACATACCCCAAAAGGACCCATCTATACGTAAACCAGATGCAGCCCGTATCAGGCCAACTTGGACACAAGGCAAAGCCCTGACTCAGCAGCAGATTGCACATTGCAATTGCATTTGAGTAACCCTTCAGTTTCTTCTACCAAGTGTAAGGCCATTTAGAAATACACTGAGAAGAGCTCTTCTGGGTGTATGGCAGAGCCCAGGGCCCCTCTGGCAGTGCACAATTTGCCTGAGTAAGGACTGCAGGATTGGGATATCAAGGAGCTATGAAGGAGGAGGGACTTGTGTTGTTTTGGGCCCTGAAACTAATAAGCAAACATCCATAGAATAACTTTAGCTCCAGGAACAATGCACTAGTGTCATAGAACCCTTATATATCTCAGCTCTAAGCAAATTTCAGGCATAAGCGGGGAGAAGGGTATGTTGCTACTCATCACCATCCAGCTGGATCCAGCCAGAGAACTGGGCACAGCTTTTAGGAATAGATAAGTCAAAGTTCAACCAGGCAGACTCGTTAAGATTTTTAAAAGTTACTTAAAATGGAAGGATCTGAAAGCAACTTAAGAGGTTACAGGTATTGGTTTGGGTTTATAATGTTCCAAGAAGCCAAACCTTATATATGGCACCATTTGCAGCAATATCATTAACATTATTAATAATCATCATAACATATTTATATATACAAAAATAGAGCAAAGCAATTCTAGAAGAGGAGGCGAAAGTGAAAGCATGGGGCTGTGTCAGTACACTTCAGGAAGATTCAGAACCAACACAAAGTGAGTGGCACATATTTCTATAGCATATAGCCAACAAAGGGATGTGGATGTTCCCTTCTTCCCCCCGTGTATGACTATACATTTCTCCCAACTCGCCGCTCTGCAGTACACATCCATGCACACTTTAAAAGAGATGATCTATAAAGTTTGAGTCTGGAAGTCTTAAACTAAGTTGGAGCACCTTGATTTCAAGCAAGTGCCCTCAATCTCTGAATTCCTTAGTGAATTTTGGATTCACTTACAGAGGGAAACTGGATCTAATTCTTGTGTCTTTAGGTGCCTGCCATCCCCAGTGCAACCTTTTCCCATTGAAGTGGATTCACAACACAGGCTCTTGGTATATTTTTAAAAGAGAAGTCAGTTCTCTGCTTTATATGTCATTCATCTCAGTTTTCCAGCTGCTGAAATTTAGGTTCTCAGGCAATTGCCATCGCAGACAAAGCCAGGAGCGAGCACGACATGTGCAGCAAAAAGTAGGCGAAGATACAGCTTGGTTAGGGATTCCTTGTTTTTGTTTTTGTTTTTGTTTTGTTTTCCACACTGGAGCTTCTACAGGTGACAGAGTCAAAGGTGATGTCCACTGGGGGCAGCCTCAACACCTGATAGTTAATTAGCTACCCACCATGCACTGCATAAAGACCACCACACTAACTTGGCGTGGTTCCAGAAAAATTGAATGACAATGGCTTTCTGTCACTGTTAATAGAGTCCTAAGAGAAAAGTCCCATGACCTAATGTGATGTAGAGTACAGAATACTGAACTAGAAGTCAGAAGACTTTTTTTCCAGTCTCACCCTGCTATGAACTCAGTGTGTGGCCTTGGGAAAAATCCCTTCCTATCTCCAGGCCTCAGTTTTCCCATCTGCAAAATAAGGGCATTGAACTAGATTAACAGTTAAGATTCCTTCCAGCTCTAAAGTTTTATGACTTTTTATGTCCGTAATTAAGGCCTGAGCCATGCAGTCTCAGGGCAGTTAGCTTCTAAGAGAGAACAGACCTCTGTAATATCCCTTGCTTTGTTCATTTAGCTATAAAGCACGTCTGCCTTTGGCACTTGGGTCAGACATACAAAGTTATGAGCATCCTGATTTACTATCCTACTCTGCATGCTAGTGGAATCTGTCAGTACTATAAGTTGATTATTGGGAAAGGGAGTAAAACTCCAGCCCATTAAACCAGGAAATGTAAGATTAATTTTTGCCTTGTGTGTTCACAAACAGGTGAGTGTGGTTATGAGTGCACACACACACATGTCAGGATATAGACTATTGCTAGTGATCAGTTCATTACAGTAATCCATTTCCCTTAATAAAATTTAGTAAATAGTATAGCATAGCAAAGTTTGGCGTCAAAGGAAACACCTATGGAAAAACAGCACTTTTGGACGTAGTTGAGAAAGGACAGGTAGAGAGAGACAAAAATAGATCAAACAAGACGGAGAATGGGTCAGTCTGAAAGAGAGAGAGGAAAGGAATAGAAGGAAGGGAGGGAGAAAGAAATGGAATGACAACTAAGAATCAGGCTGGAATGAAGGGGGAAGGAACAAAGAACAAGAGGAAAGAGGGAGAAGACGGAAGAAGGGAAGGGCAGTAAACAGGGAGAAGGGGTTGGATTCCCTGGAATATCGAACACTGTTCCACATGCACCCCTGAAAACCATCTTAGAAGAGAGTTTCCAAAGGCACTGTGGACAGTGGAGGGATGCTCAGAGCCTGCATCAAGAGGCATTATGTTGGGGAGCCCCTAACCCTCCACGTTGGTGGCTCTGTCAGTCCTCCGTGTCCGAATCTCATGCCTATGTATCACCTGAATTTGCCAGGATAGCCACATGGCTAAAATGGCCAGGTGTAAGAAGGTTGAAGAGAAGTGGAATAGATACTGTGAGAAAGAACAAGGCATCCTGCGCCAGGATGTACTCGGCCATTCCCTGACACTGCGGGAGCAAAACTGGTGAGGCCCTAACTTTGGCTGCTTTACTCCTTCTCCCCCTCTCCAGAGATGAGGCCTGCACTTTCCTAATGGGTGCGAGAAGGAGAAAGCTCTGGCTCCGTGTTGTGGGAAGGTCATACGGACTTCTCCTGGGCCTTGGGGAATGGTGCACTACCAGAAGAGATTTTTCTGCACACAGTGTTGGTGTGCCTCTTACAGCGGCAGCCTGGTCGCCGGAGGCTGTCGTAGCCCTGCTGGCACAGACGGAGGCATCCACGGGTAGGCAGGTAGCAGCACAGGCAAGGGAGGAAGAGGGAGATGAGGCTCATGGCTGCCCAGCGGACGAAGCACGAGCTGGGCCCGCAGGAGCAGGGCTCGTCGGCGCAGTTGTCTTCGTCATCGGTGGAGCAGTGGTAGAAGAGGCCCTTAACGCAGCAGAGACAAGTGCCGTAGTCGAGGAGGCTCTCAGCAGAGCAAAGGCAACGCTGGTTGCACAGCCAACAGGAGGGGAGAGGACGAGCCGCTGTGCAGAGGACACATTTGCAGCGCCCACACTCCTCACAAATGAAGAGGTGCTCCCCGGAGTGGCCTGTGGAGTGCTCAGCTTCTCCCTTCAGAGCACTGTCGACCTTTGGGTGGGCCCCTGCTCCGGGCTGGGTTCGGATGATGGACTGGCCCGAAGGTGAGGGCGTGATGCTGGCCAAGAGCCTTTGGTCGGAGGCAGTGGTGCTCTGGGACATGGAGCTGGCAATGCTGGATTGGCTCAGATGCTGAGGCAAGGGTTGCAGTTGGTGGCACTGGCTGAGACTGCGGGGAAGAGCAGGAGGCATGGCGGCCAGGGACCAGTCGGACTTGTGAGTGTGCACTGCAAGGGAGGGGCTGGAGAGGGCCTGCTTACGGGGGGCCGGGGGCCGCTCCACATAATCATTGCTAGCGTGAGTAGAGCGCAGCTGCTCAATCGGGAGGATCTGTTGGAAGTCGTCTGTCACGGCGGCATCCATTTTCCTTTGATTCTTGACTTCTGAGTGGTTTGGGGTCAGAGTGGCACTTGTGGTGATAAATAGCCCTTCTAGTTACATGGACCTTAGGGCACATCAGAAAATCCTAGGAGAGAGGAGACAGACACAATACATGAGAAGACACAGGAGGACCACTTTGCAGGGAACTACCAAAGCTCAGGCCCTAACTCTACCACGACCTTCAATCACTTTAGGGTTAGGGTTAGGGTTAGGGTTACACCTCTGTTCTGTAGTTGACCTCACCGACTTCTGTACAGGCAAATCTGCTCAACGCATCCGGACTATAAAGCTCTCTGGGAGCAAAGCTCACATCATTGATTCCTTTTGTATTTCGTCACACGACCAGGGTCACAGGAGCAGCTAGACCATTCAGATGTGTGCTAATGGAGAAATCTAGGCCCTGAGCCTCTGAATTCTAATAAAACTGGAAGCTAATTTCAAATGCAAAGGCTACATCCTGTAGTAATGCTAATGTAAAACAAAAAGAAAAATCCTCAAAAGTCTTCCATGAGAAGTTGCATGTGTATATGTATGAGACATTTATACACATGTACATATATATGTTTTTGATTGATGGGATCTAGGTATACATATTCTCCTTTCAGTAAAATTTCTGATAAGCATAAGTGACTACAAGCAGGCAGGATGCAGTAACGGCAGTGATATGGCAGAGAAACCGAGAGCGAAAATCAGGCTATTTGTAGAATAACAGGAAAAAACCACCCCACGGTGTATGGAAGCCAAGACTAATCACCCTGCAGTTCTCCTCACCTTTAGTCTGCTTTAACTCCTTGAGGAGATAACCCTTTCTAAGCGGTAGTGCAGCTCCAGAATCAAACACTAGGGATGGGAGAACAATGTAAGATGATCCCTGAATTATTTGAAATGTCACCTGTAACAGTACCTATTTATTTATTTATTTATTTATTTATTTTAAAGATTTTATTTATTTGACAGAGATCACAAGCAGGCACAGAGGAAGGCAGAAAAAGAGGGGGAAGCAGGCTCCCTGCAGAGCAGAGAGCCCGATGCGATGCGGGGCTCCATCCCAGGACCCTGGGATCATGACCTGAGCTGAAGGCAGAGGCTTTAACCCACTGAGCCACTCAGACGCCCCTAACAGTACCTATTTAAACCAAGTTGAATATCTAGAAAGCACCTACTTGTGTCTCCACGGTACCACAATCAGGAAGAGTTGGGTGGTCATTCCCTGAAGGATTTGATGGAGCTTAAAACTGATAATGGTGACTATGAGGAAAATATGGTACAAACAGTAGATCACTGTACCACACCTGGAAGACTGACTGGCCAAAAAGGTATACACAAGAAAACCTAAGCACAAATCCAAGAGTCATCCTGGAGGCATTAGGACCTAGGAAACACTAGCATGAATAAAGCATATATTTGAAATCCATCATATTTCAGGCCTCCTCAAAATAGATCGATTACTCACACTACTGTATGGAATGCAAAGCTTGAATGAGTAATAGAAATGAACAAGTGAAAGAGGATAGTGCTTGATTAGGTTTCCATAAGCAAGCAAACATGACACCGAAATGTGCCCAGAGCTCAATAACAGGAAAGAGAAGGGTGCAGCTCACAAAGGACTCAGTGGCTAATAATATGACTAGCCTCATTGCCTTTTGAGGCTATATCCCCATGTAAACCTGTTTAGTTGAATTTACATCTGTTCGTTTTTTAAAAGATTTAATTTGGTTAAAAATAACTTTTCTGGCACATCACAGAAAAGAACCAGTCTGACTATAATTTCACTTTTTAGCTAGTTGTTTTGGTGTTATTTAATGAAGCACAGGGGAATGCAAATAAACACTATGGACATTCTAGCACTCAAATATCTATGAAACTTTTGTCAAATCACTTGCTTTGTTTGGGCCTCAATTTTACTATCTATATAATTATAGGGGTAAACTAGGTGATTTTGAAGGACTCTGCCCCATTATGGTCTTTAGTTCTATAACTACACAATTTGACAAAAATTTCTCTTCATCTACACCTTCTATATCTTCAATCCTTGAGGGTAAATTAAGGAACATGCCCTTTTTCATTTCAGCATTCAAAAGCAAAATTTATGTCTCTTTTTTAAAAAAATATTTTATTTATTTATTTGACAGAGAGAGAGAGAGAGAGAGCAAGAGAGGGAACACAAGCAGGGGGAGGGGCAGAAGGAAAAGCAGGCTTCCCACTGAGCAGGAAGCCTGATATGTGGGGTTCAATCCCAGGACCCTGGGATCATGATCTGAGCTGAAGGCAGCCGCTTAAAAACTAAGCCACTCTGGCACCCCATGTCTTTTTAATTTACTTGGACTCACAGCCCCCTGAAACCTTCTATATCTACCTTTACTGAACTTAGTTGAGATTCATGGAATCTCATGGAATTCATGGAAAGGAAAAAGTAGTTTTCATTGGAACACCTAAATAAACAAAGACACGGGACATCTGGGTGGCTCAGTTAGTTAAGGGTCTGCCTTTGGCTCAGGTCAGGATCCCAGGGAGCCCCGCAAGAGCCCCCCACGGGGGCTCCTTGCTAAGTGGGGAGCCTGCTTCTCCTCTGCCTGCCACTCCCCCTGCTTATGCTCAATCTCTCTGACAAATAAATAAGTAAAATCTTAAAAAAAATAAACAAAGACACATTGTTCAGCTCACTTGAAGAGTATGGCATGTGGAAACTTTGCATCAGGAAGAGTCTTTTGGCAAATTTATAAGAAATAGTAGATTTATTGCACATTGATTAGATAAAGAATGCATGGGGCCCTTTGTGTCCTTTATAAGAACAGTAACAAACACACTGGAAGCATTTTAGACTCATTGATTTCCCAAAGGAAATTAGACTCAAAACATATTGGAAATTCTAAGAATCAATAACTCAAAGGAAGGCGTACAAGGTCTCAAAGTTACAAAAGATAATCCTCTGGGATTCCAAAGATATCACTAGGTATCTCAGGGACATGCCCAGAAGGTTGAAAAGCTAAGCTTGGAGGAATCTAGGTCATAATAGAAATGACTCAGAACCATGTTCAAAGGGGATCCTGTCTTGGCAGCAGAAGGGTATATGGTGCTTAAGTTGAGAAGGTGTATCTGGATATTGATTAGATTGCTGTAAGACTGAAAAGTTGCATTGCTGGTTGGATAATTAAAAGAAACTTTGGGCATTGGTCTGGGATGATGAGGTACTATCGCCTTGTTTACAAGAGGCTTAACAGAATGAACTCCTGCCCTACCAAATCTTTTATCAGAATGGACTGTGGAAAATCTGCAATATAGGCGGAAGGAGGACCTGGGCAAAATTAGAATAAAACAGGACTGAATGACAATAAAATGTTTGCTGATTTGATCCGGCTAACAGGAAGAACCCAAATAGATACCATAGGGGAGGGGGGACTGAGAAGCAAATAGGCAAGAGAGACTGTTACAGCACATAGATTAGATGAAAAACTATGACTGCATGCATGTTTATGATTCAGAAATCCTCCTGCTAAAGGGCAATTCATTGTGAGCAAAACCAGTTAAGAAACTGTGCTGTTGGTCAGTTCCATATTCTATTAAATGAGAGAGAGAATAAGCATATCACATATTATTAAATAGGAGCCAAGGTGATTACAAGTCTTGGCTGCACATTGGTGGGATCTAGTGATTTCTGTCACGTAGTGCCTCTGCAGTAATGAATGATGCATTGTAAACCCACTCCCATCTCAGTCCCTCTGGCCAGGTGCTCAGAGCTTTCTCAACAGTTTTCCTGTAGCCCTGAAATTTTCTGTTCAATCTAAACAGAAATTTCTTTTCTTATGCCAACTTAGGGACTAGAGAGCTAAACCTATTCAAGAAATTCTGTTTGTTAATGAAAGGAAAATGTATTTACTCCCTGGAACCCAAAATCTGCCATGTTGAAACCAAAGTTGAAAACTTCCCTAATCTAAAGTTCTACTATGCTAACAGCCTTAGACAGTTCTGATTTTTCTGGTAAATCCTTTCTGATACAATATGACTCAACCTCAATTTCAAAGAAGAGGAGGGCAGAGAAGGAGAGCTTGGCTCCTGTTTTATCCCACTCCCATGGGTTCAATGCTGTTTTGTACCTTACTGTGTAACAGCTCTGGGGTGTGTTACTTTTTTCTGTGCTCTGCTGTTACATACACTCCTTCTCAGAATAACTGAAAGCAAACATAGGGGGAATTTCTGCTATGGCTTTATATGTTTTCTTAGTTCTACTGTTCCAAAGTCTGCTCTCCAAAAATCCCTCTCTGTGCAAAAGCATTTGCATCTCTATCAAAGCACTTCCCCCTTACAAATACCAAGTTGTATATAGTTTACATTACTAACCTCTCAGCCACTGACTGGGCCTCCCTCCTACCACATACATCTTGCTGGAGCTGCCAGGTTCTCACCACATTTAACTCTTAACTTGTCACTTTGCTACCCTAGCTCTATTCATTACTTAATAGTTTCATTAAGACTCAAACTAGAGAGTCTAGCAGTTTAAAGACCTTGCATTTTTAAAGATGTAGGTGTTTTAGTGATGAGCAATACAGGGAAAATTGTAATATTGAATGAATTCACATACTTCTAATCCTGAAGAAAATGCTAGTTGTTCACTTAAGAAGTAGGGATTTTCTTTAAACCCCATAACCTTTTACAAGATACGTGAAATTTAAGTTCCAGTCTTAACTGCTTTGTTGTGTGACTGTGGGCAAACGAATTCTATCCCAAGCCTCAGTTTATCTGCAAAATGAGAGGCATGAAAAGGGGGCTTTTAAGGCCCCTTCTTGTTTTGATGCTCTACATTTTTTATACTGAGTTTGTTGGTTGTATTTCTCTGTCTCAAAAAGTCTTTCATGAAGAATTAGTCTCCTTCCTTCAAGTTTTTTCATTCCTCACTACCCAACTCCTCTACCCTGAGTAAAAACCTTCTAAATCCAAGTCACTCAGATCACTATCTAGATTGTTTCACAGCTAGAGAAACCTAA